CTTCTAAAATCCTTACAAAAATAATCTGAATCGTTACTAATCAGCCCCTTAGCCTCCATAATCTTTTCAAAATACATCCCAATATTCCTTTTTAACCCCCGAATAATCTGATTTATAACATTTGGTTTCCCACAACCAATAATCCCCTAAATAATATGAATTTATTGCGACTATTCGTTCATCAAATTTTATCTATTTATTTATTAATTAAATAGGATGTTACAACTTAAGATTTGAACAAAAATAAAACTAGTTTTATTCCCACCAATGATCATTTTGCAAGAGTTAAAAAGATTAAAACAATCATAGAAGAGAAATCATAACAACCTTTGAAGACTTTGATCCTCATGGGAAGTTGGAAGTTGATGAAGATGGCATTAAGCTCTAAATAAGAGCTCTTTAGAAGTATCCACCAAGCAAGACAAAACCACCATATATGCTAGTATAACACTTGTAAAATGTTGTTCTTAAGCTTTAATACATATAACCAAAATATGTCTAAAGAGAACTAACACTTTTAGCCTTCATCTTTGCACCGAAAAAGAAGAAAGGAAGAGAGCACATGCTCTCGGTTTTTGGCAGCAAAAACAAGTAAAAAGGAAGCCAATAAGAACAACCAACTTCACTAGATAAGTCCCTTTCTTATATATCATCAAATGTATATTAAAGTGAAGACAATAAAGTGAAAGGTGAAGCTTTTCTTACAAGTAAGGGAGGAGTAATAAAATATTCAACACTCCAACTAGTCATACATTTAACTATGTTAAAATAGATGCTTGTAAGAGGCATGTTATTAAGCATTAAACAATTCAAAAGGCAATCTACTCTCAAAGAGTATAAACTTTGGCAATATGAAGAATAAACACAAAAATCAAATGCCTTTTACTTAAACTATAACTAGTTAATTGGTAGCATACTGAGTGACCACTCTAAGTACCCAAAAAAGTTATACACAACTTTTATAATCATACCATATGAAATTAAGCTAGTTTTGTTCTTTTTATTATTATTTTCCAAAAAATAATAATTCTGAACATGTTGGCAAAATATTATTTCAAAAATAATAAATTCTCAATTAGATACAAGTGTTGATATATTTATTAATAATCAAATTATACTAATAAATAATCAATTGATGGTAACTTGCTATAAGGTGTGACCCTATATGATCATATATTATTAACAATATCATTTTATAATAACTATTAGGCAGACCAGATATTTGAATATGTGGCGTACGTCTCCTATGTTGTGTTTTCTTTTGTAATTAGGCTTGAGCTACTCGCTTAGGTCTCTTTTTTCTCTTTGTGCTAATAATATTTTTCTCACCGTTCAAATAAATAAATAAATAAATCATGATTAAAATTTCTAAAAAAAAAACATGTTACATGTAATAATTTTGTAAAATAATGATGTACTTGAGTTTGGTGTTTGATGCCAAATGATGGTTGATTAAGTTGTCTATTTTATATACTAACATGAACCGGAGGGTTTGCCCTTACGTTGCTACGGGTCATGAAAGAACTTGTTTTTTTCTGGTCGATTCAGATTTTGCAGTTCGTGTTTGTTTTTAGTTGGAAAAAAAAAATCAGATTTCACAGTTTGTGTTTGTTTTTAGTTGAAAAAAACTCGTGATGAACAACAAAAATGACGCATCAGAAGGCAACAATTACATATATTGTATAATAGTAGTGAATTGAACAAATTGAAGGGACCATTTATGTGACCTAAAAAACAGAGAGTAAAATAACATAGAAACAAATGGATGGTAGATCTTTAACTATACTACAACAGTTGTATAAGGTACATGAAAGAGTCTAAGAATCTCCACTACCTATGGTAATATATACCAGATTCTAAAAATATGCAATTAATATTTCATCCAACAATCAGACAATTGAAGAAAGATAAACAATCGTTATCAACAATTTTAATTCTCTTCATATCCCTCAATCATCTTTAAAAAATTGTAAAAGAGAAAATAATAATAATAATAATAATAATAATAATAATAATAATAATAATAATAATAATAAGACATAAAGTAAACAACATAGATGGTGGTTACCTAGTACAAACACCTATCTTTGGTTACCTGGTACAAGGAAATATTATATATTTTTCTACTTTTGATGTCTAGTGAAGTATTGACGTTATACAAAATAGTCCAGGTAAACAACTATGGAAAAGCTTGAATTCAAAGACTTTGAACACTAAGCGTATACCGTCTTTTTTAACAAACTTCCTCTCTTACCCACTCACTCTCTATCACACTCTGTCATACATGTTTTTTTCCCACACAATTAGCTGTGTCATAAGTATTAGTGATCCTTAAGATGAATTACATAAAGAGAAAGTCCATTAAACAAACTTTTTCCTCGTAACCAAAATAGATTATAATTACCAAAGTAGTGTATTATATGTGTGCAATATTGCTTCAATCGGAATTTCAGAAATATGCATAGTTTACCACAGTGACAGAAAGCAACATGCTTTAACATACATACACACACCTACATATAATATTAAACAACAAATAGTTTCACATATAGCCAAACATACAAACCAATATCATATGAAGGTTCTATTTTATTAAATGTCTGAAAATTTTCTACTATTCTTTATCCATAAAAAAATCGAAGAAGTAAATGTATATCTTGCTACGAGTCAAGAAAGAACTTGTTTTTCTCTATGTTGATTCAGATTTCAAAGTTCATGTTTGTTTGTGGGTTGATTTTTCACAGATAATCCAAATAATTTGTTTTTCTCGGTTGATCGAGTTTTCACAGTTCATGTTTGTTTTTGGGTCAGTGGGTTGGTTTTTTAGAACATACATATTTTCATTATACTATGTTTTGAGTCACTCAGAACATACATATTTTCCGAAAAAATGAACACCTGAACATTACAAAGCTGGTGCCCCTACTCAGATAATTATACAACAAAATTAAGTAAATAACAAAATACTTTTGAGAATATCAATTTTAAACAAAATAACATGTGAATGTTGTATATTGTTCATTTTTTGTAGACAAATAATAATAGAAATTTTTCTGAAGACGTTATGAATCATAAGTAACATCGTACCTTCTTGTAAACCCATCTCACCAGCTCGTGCCTTTTTTCCCTTTCAGGGCCACCAAGGTCGACCAAATGAAGGTTGGTAGTTGGCACACAATATATCATATCCACCTTCGTCATGAGGTTCTCCATTTGTTAGCAATCCGTTTTTGCTCCAAACACTAATAAAATGAAACGTTTTTCATAAATGCATATCAATGAACACAATAAACTCATTTTCACAGCCACAACTAATGATTAATAGTCCCTACAAAAATTAATTCTACATGTATTCCTTGTTAAAATGGATTGTGTCACTGCCAATGCCCATCAGTTGGTGATAAGTAGCCATTTGATGCAAGGTCATGGTAATAAAAAAAATAAACCTCTCTGTATTCCTACCCTTACTCTCTTTATTTCTTCATTATGTGAGAGCTTGCTACATTTGACAACGTTAAATGTGAACACCAATTGCATGATTCATTGGGAATGAATTTATGCAGGAAAACTTTGAATTCCTAATAACCACATCCAAAAAACACACATTTTTCACTTTTACAACTTCAAAATGCCCCTTTTACTATATCAAATTCAATAGGTATACCGCAAAACCTAAATCCAATAGTTATATTGAAAGAAACATGATACAGTAACTCATTTAGGGTAACAAAACTTACCCTCTGATATGGCCTATAAACGCTCTGATTGTTTAATGGTGTGTAGGAGGGAATTAAAAAAAAAATATTGTTAGCACGTATCACTTTCCAAATTTTTGTGCACAATCTATCCCAGATGTGGAACAAAACCTTCAAATAAACAAAAAATGCTCAAAAATGATCATTAAATATTAGCTTGAAATATACGTCGTCGGATAGACTACAAACATAAACCCTAGAAAAAAGGGAATAAATATCAAACCTGGTTATAAACATCGAAAATTCAAGAAATTGAGTAAAAGCTCTTGTTTGTTTATAAACACCGGGAGCTGCGATACCTTCAAATAATAGGAAGATGCAACGAAAATTGGAGACCTAACTTCGAGGACTTGTCGGTTATTCGAGGATCGGGAAGTGAAAGCAATCGGCAGAGTAGATAGAAGGAATTCGAAGAGAAATTGGTTTGGGAGAGAAAAAAAAGGAACATTGGAAGGAACACGAAGGTTCTTTGGTGTCTACAACAAATTAATTGAATGAGGAAAAACCAGTCGTAGAACATGGAAGCGGATTGGCTGAGAACAGCTGGTATGGAGCCGACTGCAAACCAGACATTGTTCCCCAACCACATCCAATATATATATATATATATATATATATATATATATATATATATATATATATATATATATATATATACTACTTATAAAAGAAATCTAAGTATTTCTATAAATAGATTGAATATAATAATATTATTTTTTTAAGACGTCCAAACTATTAAGCTTGAAGTACAACCCATTTATAATATAATAATATTAAAACTTTAACCATATCTTTTATCCCTTAAAAATCTTGTATCAAATTAATAGAAGAATTCATTTGCAAATTGAACCCGTCAATCTCAACACTTCAACCATTTGAAGCGGTCAATGTCAACAATTTATAGATGATCTTTTCTCTCACATTGGTAACAAACAATCTCATAATATCTATCTTCGTAATCCCTTCAAAGTAAGAAATATACGTACACTCTCTCGAAGAACCCTAACCAGTAACCAAGACAGTATAACCACCGCCACCACAGCCGCTCTGCCTCCTTTCGCCTTCAATCAACCACTATCACGACTACCGCCCTTCCTCTCACTCACGACATGAACTTTCTTTTGGAATATAACATTTTTCTTTAAAAAAAAATCGTTGAAAGAAGCTATTTGTCTCCGCTGCTGTGCGCGGATAACGGCTAGTATATATATATAATTCATGGTAGTTGGTTGAAAACGGTTCGCCTGGAATTCATCAAACGAGAATTTATTGATCACAAAAATATAAATAAAAATAAAAATTGATATCGTTTTTCTTATATTGCCTGCTCTCTCCCACATTCATAGCACCATGGTTCGTAGCCGAAAGTCACCGCTCTTTCCTTCTTTCCTTACCCTTGTAGCTTTGCTCTCTTCCGAAGCAAGATACCCAAGTCTCTGGACTTCTTTCTTAAAAATCAAAATCTGTAATCTTGTTTCTTGAATTCCTTCAATTAATCCAACACTCAGCCAAACTAAAACTCTTAAAACAATCCTCGATTCCTCCTGCCTGCTGGTACGTACATCTGACTGCTTGCTATTGATCATGGATCCTTGAATCTTGAATACCAATGTCTTGACTCTACTTTGATTTGGACTGGTGGTGATGGGTTTTGTAGATTTTCAGGATTTGGTATCGTTATCGGTACGCGTTTTGCCGATTAATTCCACCGATAAAGAAGTTAAGGGACCGATTTCAACTTGGGGAAGAAGCAGATGTCTAAATTCGATGGGGTTCTTGTGTCTGATCATTGGCTTCAAATCCAGTTCACAAAAGTTCAACTTCGTACCCTCAAATCCAAGGTTTTTCTTTATAATCCCTCTTGATTCATCGCTGTGTGCGTTATATTATATGTTGTCTATTTAATTGATTATTAGATTGGAGTTGTTTGATATCCCGTACTGATGCTCGAATCGGTTTATTGTTTTTGTGCAATCATTTTGTAGTTTGTATCATTTAAGAATCAAAATGCTGAACTTACGGCTGCGGACTTGCCTCTATTGCTTGCAAAATTGAAGCCTTTTAGCGAGTTGTTTAAGGAGAAGGAAATAGAGGACTTATTATCAGAATCTGGTTTCGACATGAGCAATGGAATTGATTTTGAAGTTTTCCTCAGGGTAAATATTGGATGTTTACATCCCTTGTTTAATCAATCACATTGATTTTGTTATGAGTTACATTTCTTTATAATCGATTGATTGCAGGGTTACCTGAATTTACATTCACATGCTGCTGCCAAACTGGGCAATTCAAATAACTCATCTTCGTTTCTTAAAGCAACAACCACAACTTTGCTTCACACCATTGATGAATCAGAGAAAGAATCTTATGTTGCTCATATCAATAGCTATCTTAGAGATGATCCATTTATGAAGCAGTTTCTTCCCATAGATCCAGCTATCAATGCTTTGTTTGAGTTGGCTAGAGATGGAGTTCTTTTATGGTATGTCTTTTTTATCCTCTTTGTCATGACAGCATGAGCATATGTAATTTGATATTTGTATTTGCAGTAAACTCATCAATGTTGCAGTGCCCAATACGATAGATGAATGCGCAATTAACACCAAAAGAGTACTGAATCCATGGGAAAGAAATGAAAATCATACTCTTTGCCTTAACTCTGCCAAGGCTATAGGATGCACAGTAGTAAATATTGGCAACCAGGATTTGGTTGAAGGAAGAGTAAGCTATCATATTAGAGTTACTTATATCCATAGTTGTTTGAAGTGAAGCTTTTAAATCTCAAAACACCTGATTTTTTTTGTATATAAATCATTTTTGCAGCCTCATCTGGTTCTTAGCCTAATTTCTCAAATTATAAAGGTAGGGTTGTTAATCCAGTGGTTGTATTTTTTTTTTTAAATATTCATTCTTCTGATGTGGCTTGTAATTTTGGCTCATCCAGATCCAACTCCTGGCAGATCTGAACCTTAGAAAGACGCCTCAACTTGTAGAATTGGTGGAGGACAACAATGTACTTGTTAATATCTTTCTTCAGTTTATGTGTGCATTTGTATCTATATATATATAATATAATATATATATATATATATATATATATATATATATATATATATATATATGGTATTGTTGTATGCAGGATGTGGAGGAGCTTATGGGATTAGCACCTGAGAAAGTCCTATTAAAATGGATGAATTTCCATCTTAAGAAAGCAGGATACAAGAAACCCGTTACGAATTTCTCATCTGATCTCAAGGTAAATCTCCCTTCTTCATTTTTATTTTTTTAATTTTTTTTAACAGCAGTGTGATTTCATGTGTAGGATGGAGAAGCTTATGCTTACCTGCTTAATGTTCTTGCACCAGAACATTGCAGCCGAACCACATTGGATACCAAGGATCCAGCTGAAAGGGCAAATTTGGTACTTGAGCATGCAGAAAAAATGGATTGCAAAAGATACTTGGCTCCTAAAGATATCGTTGAAGGCTCTGCCAATTTAAATCTTGCATTTGTTGCACAGATTTTCCATCAAAGGTTGGAGTCCCTTGCATTGATGTTGTTGTTAATTGTTATGTTATCAGTGAAGTAGTTAGTAACAAATGTTGTTTTTTTTTTTTTTGCAAGAATGGTTTGTCTAGTGATAACAAGAAAATTTCATTTGCTGAGATGATGAGTGATGATGAACAAATGTCAAGAGATGAAAGATGTTTCAGGCTGTGGTTGAATAGCCTTGGGATTTCTTCTTATGTCAACAATCTGTTTGAGGATGTCAGAAATGGATGGACGCTTCTGGAAGCTGTAGATAAAGTTTCTGTGGGGTCCGTTAACTGGAAACATGCAACTAAACCTCCTATTAAGATGCCGTTCAGGAAAGTTGAGAATTGCAATCAGGTTATCAGGATTGGAAAGCAGTTGAAGTTTTCTCTTGTCAATGTAGCTGGAAATGACTTTGTTCAAGGGAATAAGAAACTCATACTTGGTAAATCATTCACACATTTATATATAAATACAAATATCGGGTTATTATGTTTCCGTTTTATTGAAATCAATTTTGTATCTGTGTACACACACACAACTTTCTTGTGGCAGCTGATGAGGTTTAACATGCTTCAGCTTTTGAAGAACTTGAGATCCCACTCTAATGGGATTGGGAAGGAGATGACCGATTCTGATATTTTGAAATGGGCAAATAGAAAAGTCAAAAGCACCGCAAGACTTTCTCAAATGGATAGCTTTAAGGTAAACTCACTCTCCATTCTTTTCTTTTAATCTTCTATCATATCAAGCATTAAGTATTAACAATGGTGGCATGCAGGATAAGAGCCTTTCAAATGGAATATTCTTCCTTGAGCTTCTGAGTGCAGTGGAGCCGAGGGTGGTCAACTGGAACCTCGTGACCAAGGGCGCAAGTGGTATGTATGGTTATGGTTTTTTAATTACAAGGGTAATTCTGTAATTTCATGATGTGATGTTAATTGACATTTGACAGATAAGGAGAAGAAGTTGAATGCAACTTACATAATCAGTGTGGCAAGAAAGCTGGGGTGTTCACTGTTCTTGTTGCCTGAAGATATAATGGAGGTAAAACTGATAGAATAGAAGAATGTTTTTGTATAGGGTGTAGAAGAATTGGAGAGTGACTGATAAATGATAATAATAATAATAATAATAATAATAATATTAACAGGTGAATCAGAAGATGATACTTATGTTAACAGCAAGCATTATGTATTGGAGCCTTCAGCAATCTACAGATGACTCAGAATCATCTCCTTCTCCTTCTCCTTCTCCTTCTCCTTCTCCTTCATCGGTTTCAGCAACTCCAGAAGCTTCACCAGCACCTTCTGTCAATGGTGATGAAGACAACTCCATCTCCATCACTGCCACTGCTGCTGAAATCTTCAACTTATCCATTGATGATCCAGCTTCTGATACCACAGTCTCTTCTACTCAAGAAAACAACAATGATGCTGGTTTACAGTGATTAATACCATACTTTTTTTTTTTTTATTATCATTATTATTTGTAAGTAAAAGAAAAAGGGAAAGGGGGCAAGAGACAGAAAGAGAGAGTATACATAAATTGGATAAAAGAAAGGGAACTATAGGTAGAGAACATATGAATGCATACTGGAGATGGAGAGAGATAGATATGTTGATGTTTTTTTTTCTTGCTCTGATAAAAGTTTTTTGATATTGTTTTGTTTTATTGAAATAAGTTGTACATTCCCTTCTTTCTGATGTATAAGTTATGATTCACGTTCCATTTTTTATTTGTTTAGATCGATCCATATTCATATAATGAGACACATATAAAGAGACAATCACATGTGTTGATCTATCTATTTGAATATTAAAGATTACATTTTTATTATTTTACTGTATTAAACATCCTCCTTGACCCACACGACACGACCGACATTTTTCCACCTCCCCCATTATAACTTTTTTTTTGCTTGTTTTCTCATCTGTCTTTTAACATTTGTTTATTAAAGCGTTATAATTACAATTCAGGTTTTAAATGTGGCTTCATATTTTTTAAAACATGTTTATTTTGTGTTGAATTTTTAAAATATGAATACCTTTTTAATGACATTTTTATATAATGATGGTACATCCTCTAACAATAAATTTGAAAGCATACTATATTTGTATAAGGACGAATAATGTGAGAATTTGTAAAAGAGAAAATTTCAGAAAAAAAAAACCAACTTATTATTGGGCTTTGACCTAGAACATTGAATATATAGATTGGATCAGGTTCGTGACTGTGTTGTTCATGGTAGATGGAAAAACAAGCATTGTAAGCAGAATTGTTGTAGGAATCCGAGAAATACAGTTATTCTAGAGAAGCTCTTGGTTTTCGAAAGTTTGGTGGAGGGATACTTGTTTTCTCAGACTATTGAATTTGAAATATAGCTAACGGGATGAAATTCACGGTGAGTGAAAATATGTCATCACATTGAATTTTTTTTGTTTTCTAATGGTACTTACCCTACATATTTGAATTCTTTGTTGCCAAAAAAGGTAAATATTTTCATGTGGTGTGTGGGTTTAGACATAATCCTTATTAAGGAAAATCTTTTGCTTAGAGGGATTGATTTACCCACTTTTATTTGTCCTATGTGCAAACTTCATAAGGTGGATCATGTTTTTATTCATTGCGAGACAGTAAGTCTTGCTTTTGGAGAACATTTATAAATGGTGTGACATTTAATTCATTTGCTTAGCGTTGGGGATTTTCAAAATTGGTTAGATTCTTCACTTAAATGGGCTTAAAAAATGAATTGTATTCTATTATTTTTGACATGTGGTGGTGCATTCGGAAGTTTAGAAACGTATCAGTCTTTTATAGTAGTAAACTAATGAAACATGTTTTATTTGATAGTATAGTTGTTTGTTCTTACAATTGGATAGTGCATAGAAAGAATAAACTTAAGTGTATGTTATTGGAAGTCTCATGTATGCTATGGTTTGTACCAAACCTGATTTGGCTCATGTAGTTAGTGTGGTTAGCAGGTTTATGAGTAATCCATGGATGACTCATTGGGAAGCTGTAAAGTGGATCTTACGATACTTGAAGGGAACGACGAATGTTTACCTGGTGTATGGAGCAAATACGAAGAGTGACTTGGTGGAATATGTTAACTCTGATTATTGTGGAGACTTATTGAAGCGCAGGTTGCAAACGTGCTACATATTCACTTTATTCGGATGTGTCATCAGTTGGAATTCAATGTTACAAGATATCGTTGCTTTGTCTACAACTGAATCCGAGTATAGGTCCATGACGCAAGGGCTTATTCAGAGTCTTGGTCTGAAGGTGTAAAAACATGTCCTGTATTGTGACAATCAAAGTGCTTTGAGTCTTGCAAAGAATCATGCCTATCACGAGAAAATGAAGCACATTGATATCAGGCTGAATTTCATTCGGGATATTCTGGAATGAGACAAGTTTTCAATATCGAAGATTGATACCAAGGTCAACCCAACAGATATGTTGACAAAGTCATTGCCCACGGAGAAGTTCAAGCTTTGCTTGGACTTGGTTGATGTTTGTAGGAGATAGGTCCCTTCGAGGATGAATGGCAGGAAAGGAGAGGAAGTTCTTGTTCAAGGTGGAATTCAGAGGATGCTAAAGTCAAGGTGGAGATTTTTAAATGTGACTTGAGCATTTGGTGCATTTGGATCATGTTCATGAAGCATTTGGAGCATTTGGACCTCAATAGAGCACTTGGGGTTCATGGAGCATGTGATAATGGAACAGATCTTCTGCGAGAGGAATGGATCATCAGACAAAGGAGCTGATCAAGTGCCAAAGGAACATATTGTGTACAAGGGGGTTTGGAGCACCTGGAAGGAGTCTGGAGCACTTGGAAGTGGTTTGGAGCACTTGGAAGGGATATGGAGCAACAAGGGGTCCTTGTTACGCCACATGATGAAGAGATGGGTCAAGAAGGATGCTCTTGAGCCATCTTGTTCTCCTCTTGATCCATCTTGTTTTCTTATTGAGCCATGCATGTGCCTGTTGCTCATGGTGATGTTGTTTCTCCAAGATTGATGTTGTGCGCCATACTTGATGCTCTTGCGCCATTTAGATCCCTGCTGCACCAACTAGGATTGTTGTTGCGCCATGAAGAAGCTATTGTGCCATCATGGACCATCGTGGTATATGATGTGCTATATTGATTCCTTTGTTATGCCATGTTGATCCAAGTATGCCTAAAAGATGATAATGCTCAAGAATGTTCCATAAGATGCTACATGGCGGATTGTCATTGGTTGACACCCTTCATGGTCCTATGGGCCAATGGGTTTGGTCATTAGGGTTTTAGGTCTGATTCCTCAAGTATAAATAGGGATGCATGCTAGGTCATTTTTTTGTATCTTGAATTATAGAGTGATAGGCGAATCTCTGTGTAATTGCACTTGTAACCTCTGTGTTGAGAGAATAAAGAATACTCACCTCCTACCCGTGGACGTATGTCACCTTGACCGAACCACATATATATTGTGTCTCGTGTGCTTTTGGTTTTGCTATTTATCTGTTTTACTTCCTAACAAGTTGTATCAGAGCTACGATTTGTATTCTTGTGATTGAAGATGTCTGCTCACAAGTTTGATTTGGAGAATTTCAATGGCTCAAATGACTTCACTTTGTGGAAGGTGAAGATGATGGCTCTTGTGGTTCAACAATGATGTGCGACGGTACTGGAAGGAGAGGCAAAACTGCCAAAGGACATGGCGATTGTGGATATTTTAACGAAGGCACATAGTGTCATTCTATTGAACTTGACAGATGAAGTATTGAGATAGGTTGTAGATCAAATAACTGCTTCTGGGATCTGGGATAAACTTTGTGACAAGTACCAGAACAACTCACTGACGAATAGGTTGTATCAGAAGCAAAGGTTCTACACTCTCAGAATATCTGAAAGTACCCAAGTGAAAGATCATTTGGATAACTTCAATCGCATTATCTTGGAACTACAAGGTGTTGATGTGAAGATTGAAGATGAAGATCAGGCGCTCGTTCTCTTATGTTCACTTCCTAACTCGTATGAGAATTTCGTTGATACCATGCTTTATGGTAGGAAAACAATCATTGTGAATGATGTGAAGGACTCTCTGATGTCCAAGGAACTGAAAAGAAAAGTTTCAGGTGGAGAGGAGGTGTCCAGTTTCGGTTTGTTTGCAAGGAGATGGAGGACAGAAGAGAGGAACGAGGGAAACAGAGGTAGATCACATTCAAAATCAAAGTATAAAGGTTCATCAAACATGAGATGTTTTAATTGTAAGGAGAATGGGAACTTCAAGCGAAATTATCCACAGCTGAGGAATGGGAAGTCCAAGAGTGAATCACGCAGCAATAACATTGTTGTTGTGGTTTAGGAAAGTTCTGATGAAGGGGACGATGGTGATGTACTGATTGTGTGTACATCAAGTTATGTTGATGCTTGGGTCTTGGATTCTGGAGCATCCTATCACATGACGTATAATCGTGACTGGTTCGACTCCTTCAAAGAGTGGGATGGCACAGTTAAGATGGGTGATGATTGAGTGAGCAATATCAAAGGTAGTGGCACGGTGCAGATCTAGATGCATGATGGCATGGTCAGGAAGCTAAAATGTTGGTACGTTCCAGAACTTCGGAAGAATCTAATTTCTCTTGGCATATTGGCTAAGAATGGGATGAGGTATGCTGGTGAAGGTGACTGGGTCAAAGTGACCAAAGGCTCTCTGGTTATAATGATGTATTGTATAGCCTCAAAAACAATATCCCATCAGCCTTTTTGGATTTAAACTTAAAAAGCTCATATAAACCCTAAAATAAAATAGAAACGGTTAGGAAACTTCACTGAAACTTCAAGGAAACTTTTCCGATACGTTTCCTTGTTACCCGATACTTCAATGAAACGTTTCCATGGCGTTTATGGGGCGTTTCCGTTTCCATGGAGTTTCCGAAACGGGAACATGGATCTAAGAGGAGTTTTTGTGCATCATATCTTACCACTACAAATCATTAAGCCATTTCATGTTAAACTATTAAGACATTCTCATGACATTATTAGAAATTCAATATAAATTAGTTACATTAACATTAAAACATTAGCAATCATGCTTTTATGTTCATTTTTTTTGTTAGAAACTCAATATAAATTAGTTACATTAACATTAAAACATTAGCAGTCATGCTTTTATTTTCCTTTTTATTTAAAAATAAATTATATATTAAATATAAAGGATATTATTAAAAATGACAATAAAAATATAATTTTAGCTTTTGAACTATTTGTAGAAGTTATCAAACATATGGATTATTTCAGACATGTTTCAGACTATCTTTATGTTACAAAAAAAAAAAAAAATACATCTCAGATGTTAAATTTCAATTTTTCAGATCTGATTTGTCTAATAAATTGCATGGATAAAGTTTCCTACTTTATCTCTTTCATTGGTTCAAACAAGAAAGACCATAAGCCCTAACTCTTAAAATGACCTAAAATGACCAAAAGTCTATGAATGGCTAGGAAAGGGGACAAGAACTCGACTTTCAAGCAAGAAGATGGTCCAGAAGTGAGTCTAAGACAACATCAATCACCTGGAGTTTCCAAACTCCAAGAAACCATAAGCTAAAAGGACCAAAGACAACCAAAACACCATCTAAACCTAAATCTATACATGGAAATCAAGAAAGCAAGGACTTTTTATACTTACAAAGGTCTAGAGTTGAGGAGAAGGTTGCACAACTTCTAGATCTTCACTTTACTCTCTTCCACGCACTTCTTACTCAAGAAACTCCACCAAAAGCTCCAAACACACACACACACACACCAAAAACACTCAAGGGGGCTAGGGTTTTGCTCTTTGAAGATGGTGGCTTGAGAAAATGACGAACCCTACAAGTGAACACCTTAAATAGGGCCCAAGGCTCAAGACATAGAGTTTTGAATCTAACCGACATCGCGCTGTGATCCATACCTGACGATGCCACTACTTAAGTGACGTGGTCGTGTCGCGACATACTATTGCACCTGCTGCGATGTTGTGGTACGCTGAAAACCCTATCTTAAACTTGATTAAAAAATAAATGTTCACAGATACCTGGAAAATGAATGTTACATTATGATTTCAGTATCGAAATCGAACTCGTTCAGTAGATGTGCTTTTTTTTTTTATTCGGTAAATAAGTTTTATAATTGTTATTATTTGAATACAAACTTCAAAAATATCTTGGGGATGAATTTTGGCTACTTTAAAACAAAAGAACAAAAGAGGAAAATGCTTAAAGCCCTAAAACACCCGACCCACCGTTGTCTTCATCTTTCCTAAGTAGTGTAGAGGTAGAGGCAGCCATATTTCTAACTTTACTACCTTCACCGTCCTTTAGAAACATCCATGGCCACACGAACGCTTCTTCAGTTCGCCACCAACGTAACCCAGTTACCTTCGTCTTCCGCCTCAATCTCCACCGGATGTCCGCTTTCTCCCTTCTTCCTGAAAGCATGTGACTCACCTAGGGCTCGTGTACGTCGGCGTTCCGCCGTATGCTGTTCTTTTGCCTCAATGGAGTCTGCAAAGATTAAGGTTGTCGGTGTCGGCGGCGGCGGCAACAATGCCGTTAACCGCATGATTGGTAGCGGATTGCAGGTGTCTCTCGAAACCGATAATTCTTCTCTCAGATTCATCTTATGTGTCTTTCGAATTGAAAAGAGAAATATTATAATATCCATTGTTCAAAAATGTGTTATGTACAGATTTAAATTACATTTAATTTCATCATTCAAGAGATTTGTCTTTCGTTCATTAAAGAAAAAACAGTTATCGTTTTTCACTCGGAAGGAACTTCCATGTTGCAGATTGTACATGTTTGTGCATAATCCTGGATATTTACATTTACATATGTGAGGATGATTTCCTTAACGAGATTTGATTTGATGAACTATACAGGGTGTTGATTTTTACGCCATAAACACGGATTCTCAAGCGCTTTTCCAGTCTGTTGCAGAGAACCCAATACAAATCGGAGAGCTTTTGACTCGTGGACTTGGTCTGCTTCATTCCAGTTGGAGGATAAGGTTTATTTGTGTTTATATGATGATATCCATGTTGTTGATGTTGTTGATGGGTTCAGGTACGGGTGGGAATCCGATGTTGGGGGAACAGGCTGCAGAGGAATCAAAGGAAGCAATTGGAAATGCTCTCAAGGGATCAGACCTTGTGTTCATAACAGCAGGAATGGGAGGTGGGACAGGATCTGGAGCTGCTCCAGTTGTGGCCCAGATAGCAAAAGAAGCAGGATATCTTACCGTTGGTGTTGTAACCTACCCCTTCAGCTTTGAAGGACGCAAAAGATCAGTCCAGGCAGGTGATACAAAACCCATTATAATGATTAATGAATCATGAATGTGTTATCATATACACATCTTATTCTATCTATCAGGCATTGGAAGCTATTGAGAAGCTGCAAAAGAATGTGGACACACTTATAGTCATCCCAAATGACCGTTTGCTGGATATTGCTGATGAGCAGACACCCCTTCAGGATGCTTTTCTTCTTGCTGATGATGTACTCCGCCAAGGCGTTCAGGGCATTTCAGATATAATCACGGTGAGTGACTAACTTGTATTATTATGTTTTGAGGAGTAGCATGTGATATGATGATGATGTTTTGTGCACAGATACCTGGGCTGGTGAATGTCGACTTTGCAGATGTGAAAGCAGTGATGAAAGACTCTGGAACTGCAATGCTTGGTGTGGGAGTTTCCTCTAGTAAAAACCGAGCTGAAGAAGCAGCTGAACAAGCAACACTTGCTCCTCTCATCGGATCTTCAATCCAATCTGCCACAGGAGTGGTTTACAATATCACTGGAGGGAAGGACATAACTCTTCAGGAAGTCAATAGGGTGTCTCAGGTAATAAATACTTTTTGTATATACATATAGTAAGTATTAAGTACAGTAGTTAATTGAATGAATGTGGCTTGGTTTTGTGTCCAGGTTGTAACAAGTCTAGCAGATCCTTCAGCCAATATTATATTTGGGGCTGTTGTGGATGAGAGATATAATGGGGAGATTCATGTCACGATTGTTGCCACTGGATTTGCACAGTCGTTTCAGAAATCACTCCTGGCTGATCCCAGAGGAGCAAAACTTGTTGATAGAAATCAAGAATCCACACAACCTTCCCTCTCTCCTAAATCCTCCTTCACCACACAAAATCCTACCCCATCTCGCCCAAGGAAAATCTTCTTTTGAGTTTTCACTTTCTTATGTTTCAAATGTTGTTGATGCGATTGTTATTTTTCTTTTTTTATGTTGAGGATGTGTAGTAAGTAGTACTTTTTACGTGAATGAAAAGCTCACTTCAAATGAAAACAGGTTGATTTGGTTGGGTAATGAAAAATAATAATGACAATTAAATTGTTTAATAGCGTAATAATGAGTTTGGGTATATCTACAATCATATGAATATATTACACAATTCTGGGGAAGGTACAAAGGGAAGCATGCTTTCACCAAAAAGATGAAATAGTTTTGGAAGCAAATGTCCAGCATTTACTTCCTTCTTCCACGCACGTGACACAGCCAGTGATGATGTTTGTATATTAGCACCAAACCTATCCCTCCTCATACTAGCACTAGCACTAGCACTAGCACTGCTCCCCGGGATATTCTCATTACCCATAAACCTTGTTGGTATATTAGCATCAGAAGACCCCCCTCGAGTTATCGAAAATCCACTTCCACCCCCTTGCATCTCCACCTTCACCAAACTCTCACCTGTTGCCGCCGCCTTTTTAACAGCCTGTTCCAGCATTCCGGCCTTGCGTTTATCTTTCACATGACGAAACAAGAAAAAAGTTTTCAAACAAAAATTGTTCAAGGCATATGATACAACAAAGAGTAATTAATTAATGAGTGTACTTGTTGGATTGAGGAGTTTTCCATTGGCATGTGTTGGTGGAGAAAGCAGATTGGGAATCATCTTAAGCTGATTGTAAACACATAAACCAGCGGCACACATTAAGGCCCCATGGACCTCATTGGCATTCTTGTTGTGAAGGTGGATTTCTGGTTGTATAAACTGTAAATACAAATCAAGATTTGGTAGCAAAAGCAGACGCACGACGCTTGAGCCAAGGGCAGTAATCCCTTTGATAGCACCATAATGTTGGGTGAATGCTTTTGCAGGGTCCATGAAAGCATCAACAAGTGTCCTGGTGACACGTAGCTGAAGATTATGATACCCATGCCCAAACCTTCTGCATATTGAAGCCACCAGGTTGGCTGTAAAGTTTCTGAGTTCCCAGTGGTTATTATTATTATTATTATTATTATTATTTCCTCCTAGGCTTTTTGCAACAAGACACGTCATCACAGATGGCATGAGCTGGATCAGATACGGTTCCATGTGCAGGTGTGGATTCTGTACAAGACTCCGCACAAGCCTCATCAAAGCAAAAAGAAGCTCCAAGTTGTTCAAATTACGAGTCACCTGATACATCACCAACCCAACACCATTAGCTTAACTTGACTTGACTTAACTTAACTTAAGTGAAAATGGCGGACTACCTCTTCAGCAACAAAATATATGAAATAAGGAACCAATGGATGGAGTCCTGCATCCCTCCCCAAACTCAACAGTGCTTTCTTAAAGATGACTGAGTTTGACCGGGTTACAGTCAGGTCTGTGATCTTTTCAAAGTAAAGCTGAAGCTCTATTGATAGCACATGTTTCACAAGACTTTTATTATTATTATTATTATTATTATTGTCTCCAATCCCAATCCCAATCCCATCTTCTTTGTTCTTATTATCAACTGGAGTCAAAAGAGCTGCAGTCAAAGTCAAAAGTCAAAACTGATTTACAGATCATTTTAGTGGTGAATAATAATAATAATAATAATAATAATAATAATAATAATAAATGTTAGTTATTTACCTTCTAGTGGAGGATTCTCGGGAATAGCAGGTTGTACGCCTTCGATAGCCAACCAGTGGTTCACAACTGCAGTATCTAAAGGTGCTTTTGGGAGGGGGGCTTCAATCACCTGAATGAAATATTAATATTAATATTTTTAGTCAAAAGTCAAAAGTCGACTATACTATACTGTTCTAAGAGTGACATGTCGTTTACCTCTCTAAATTCTACATCCTTGTCATCAAGGTAAAATAAATCTTTATGTCTGGCAGCTCTTTTGAATCGCAAAGAATTTCCAGATGCAACATATATTGGCTGAGATGAGAGAGTGAGACACACATCATTATCATATTCAGATCATTAATAATATGAATTTGAAGTCGAATATACGTCACTTGCCCATAAACTTGAACAAGAACACAAAAAAAATGTGGAAACCATAGTAAATAATAAAAAAATTCTATGCAGTAAACGCAATTCCCCACACCATATACAAGTCGGAATATAATTCTAGGCACGGAGATTAATAAGTGTTCTTACTTCTTAGAGAAAATAAGTACCAAGAAATGCAATAAAAACCTAGTTTTTGTTACAATCAGAATCAGATAGGGTGTGTGGTGATAGATAATCTTTAGGATGATGTATTTTCACTTTCCTAGTTTCCTTAAACTGTATTTCGACCCAATGCCTGGATATGAGTATGACAAAATCAGTTATGGGATAATCCAAAAGATTACAACTTGAAGAACAAGACAAGATTCATGTTATGGTATATTTATACCAGAATTACCCACAAGTGGAGTGGATAAGAATCCCACACAGCTTGAAGCTTGAAGTTGACTGAGCCCCAAGTCAGCCTATGGTCAATTCTAAGTCATAAACTGAGTTGGTCGGTTTTTAGATGTTTAGTTCCAAACTGATACCCTAAAATTGGCCTAAACTTTAAAGGTTTTCCACACTACATTTTGCAGTCTAAATCTGCATCATTTGTTGTGTTTGGGAATTGGGATCAATCTAGTCTTATACACAGATACACCTAACTTCTATTAGCTCATAGCCTAAAATTAAATCCCCCTTGGCACTTCACTTATGTAAATTCCACTCCAGTTACTCAAACTGAAAGTCTAAAATCACCAACATTTTTTATAGTTTTCACGAATGGCATGCTAGAGCTACACAAACTTTAATTTATTAACTTATAAGCAATCCATGGAATCCTGAACGGCTATATCACATTCCTTAAAAGTTAAAAGGGAGTAAGTCAACAATATATTTTAGGGCCTCTCTGGACCTAAACCTAACCTGTACTTACAAAACCAAAACCACAAGATGCAGTTATGGATCAAACTAGCCCACATCACATGACCCATAATATTTGAGCATTGCCTAAATCCCATTCGGTACTAATAACCTAAAATGTCACCCCATCATCAAACATGATCATATCATACAAGATTGGAAGAATAAAATACAGCTGCAAAACCATTCATTCATCAATCAGCTGAGACCATAAAATACCTCCATTTTTCTTAGATCAAGGGCGGTATCCACATCATCTGAAGTCATAGCAGTTCGCTTTGCATGCCGCATACATTTTATAGCCTCCTACAATTGAATAAATTCGAATATGCATGTGAAATCAGTACTGACCATCAACGGTTCACTACACTATATACGCACTGAAACTTAAAGCATGAAAATTTTACAAACAAAATTGACGGCATTCGCATAATCAACCTGCATAATCTCGCGAACACGGTATTCGATGTCGGCGGCTAGAGAAGGCAAGACATCCGGCGACAAATTTCCAACGCCGATGCTTTGCGCGATCACTTCGATGCTTTCTTTATCTACGACGCTCATCTTCTTGTTTTTTTTTTTTTTTTTTTTTTTTTTTTTTTTTTCCCTTCAATTAACTACAATCACCTAGCCTATAAATAATTTACAAAAAAAGAGCTCATTCACAGCAACTTACTCATTAAATTCCCTCATTTTTCCAATTTCGGTGCAAGAACTTCGACGATAAAGAGGGAATTTGAAAGAGCCGACTCTGCGTTTGCGATTTCGATTTGGGGAACCGTCCGCACAAGTGGGTGGGAGAATGCAAGTGCAAACCATTTTTTTGGTAAATCTAATGGGCCTCCAGCGCTATCAAGGCCCAAGTCGGATTTTTTTTTTTTTTGCACACCGTATTCGGATAATTTATGCTACCAGGTGCAAAAGTCGGATTTTTCTGGGAAGCCGGACCGGTTTTAAAACCAATTCGGTAATGAACCGATCCAGTTTTAGGTGTCGTTTGATAGTTGCTGATTGAGAAAGTGCTGATTGAGAAAGGTCTGTCTGAGTAATAAGTTCTGAGTGAGTAAGAAACTATGTTGTTTGATTGTACATCTGAGTGAATGTACTGACTGATGCAAAATGACCATTTTACCCTGATGCTCTTTATAATAATAATAATAATAATAATAATAATAATAATAATAATAATAATGTATACAAAAACTTCCAGCATAATAGACATTAAATATATTATTTTAGAGATTAAAACACAAAAAACCCTTTAGCTTGCTGGTAAACATCATTATATTTATAAGGGGGACCCGAGTTCAATTCTTGTAACCTCCTGTTTCACTTGTTTTTATCCAAGGCTAAAGGTATTATTGTAAAGTCTTACTTTCTTTCTCAGTCAGCCTCCTCCCAACTCCTTTCTCAGTCAGACACTTCTTACCGAGTCAGATGGCCAAAGTTGGATAATCAAACACATTTTGCTGACCGAGTCAGCCAAAAACGTCTGACTTGACTCGGTCAGACGCATATCAAACGGGGCCTTAGTCAAACGGATTAAGAAATCAATTTGACCAGGAACCAGATTGGTTTCATTTTGGTTCAAACCGAACAATACTTACACCTATAAAAACCGAGATCGGACTAGAATGTAACCGATTTGAAAAAACCCGACAAAATTGGGAAGAATTGAGGTGCTCACAGTGATGCGGATTTTTTATGCAATTCAATACTTTTTTTTTTTTTTTTTTTTTTTTTTTCTCTTTTGGTTTTTAGTTCATGAAAATACATAATACACCAAACAAATACATAATGAAACATAAAAACAACGATAAAAATATAGACATTGTCGTTGTTGATTTGATCATCTGTAACCGTTGTTTATTAGCAATTTTTTGTATGGATTTAGTCCTCTTTGGTCATGTTACATAATTATTCTCATAAGCAAGCTCTTGTATGTTAAGCCATACCGTCATTCCTATCGCTATTTCTTCACCGTGAATTTTTTGTTCAACTCTCAACAATTCAACTTCAAGTGGTGAAACATTATGTATTCATTCCACGTCATCGAAGTAGTATTTCAAGAATATGCACACTTCTACCGACAAAGGGGTGAGTTATGTTCTTTTAGGTTACATAACCATGCCATTAACATAAATAAAGGATTTCAAAGTTATCATAGAAGTTTGGACGGTTAGTACATCATAGGCCATAACAACTAGCATCGAAAATTGGGATTGTTTTTCTTTCCATAAAGACGACATCTAGATTCTCAAACTCTTGTATACTTATATGTGCCAAAAATTGTGGATCTAATGTACCTTCTGAGCTCACTTTTAGGGTTGCTAGACCTAACTTGTTTGGTATTTTTTTTAAGTATTATAGAGTAAGATTGTTTTGCTATTATCATGAGAATTCGATTTGGATGCCCTCAAATTTCGTATCATGTCATGAATGCTTGTTGAACCATATTTTGTTATATAAACTTTAAACAAACTTTAGAAAACTTTGCTAGATTTCAATAGTTGTCTTGAATATTATATGGTGTCTTGTTGAACCATATTTTGTTAAATAAACTTCAAACAAACTTTAGAAAACTTTGCTAGATTTCAATAGTTGTCTTGAATATTATATGGTGTTTTCACATGTGAATATTATATGTATATTTTTATGTGAATGTTTTGCTATTATCATGAGAATTCGATTTAGATGCCCTCAAATTTCGTATCATGTCATGAATGTTTGTTGAACCATATTTTGTTAAATAAACTTCAAACAAACTTTGGAAAACTTTGCTAGATTTCAATAGTTGTCTTGAATATTATATGATGTTTTCACATATGAATATTATATGTATATTTTTATGTGAATGTTATATGCTATATTCACATGTGAATATAATATGGTATATTCACATGTGAATATGATATGATATGATTTTTTCACATATGAATACACATGGTATATTCATATGTGAATATAAGTTTTATATAGTATTCACATGTGAATCTACCTTCAAATGAGAATATATCATATAAACAAACATGTAATGTAAGATTCACATTTGAATATACCAAATAAATTGAAAGTAAAATGTAATATTCATATGTAAATATAACTTCATACATGAATATTCCATATCAACAGAATATATTAACAAATATATCATGTAATAGTCACATGTAAATATAAAAATAATAATTCACATGTTACCATACCAGTAACATTCATATTTGAATGTAATGATAAAAATTATATTTACTTTCTCCTCTCAATAAACATATATATTGATTCATATGTGAATGTATATTTTCTTTACATGGTATAATCATATGTGAATATTCCATGATATTTTTTGTTAACATGGTATATTCACATGTGAATATTACATAATATATGTTGAATATAACTTTTATACAATAGTCACATGTGAATATACCTCCATACATGAATATACCATATAAACAAAACATATAATGTAAGTTTCACATTTGAATATACCAAATAAACTAAATATATGCAATGTAATATTAATACATGAGTATAACTTCACACACAAATATATCATATCAAGATAATATATTCTGTAATATTCACATGTGCTTATACCATGTTAACAATAAACTATCATGTAATATTCACCTAATTGTAACGCCCCATTTTTCATTATTCGATTATTTATCGTAAATTAAGGATTTAGATCTTTAAGAATTAATAATAATAATAATAGTTTTAGGTTGGATTAATAAATTTATAAAATAAATAATATGAAATATAATAATGCATGTTATGATTAAATAAACCTTAGGGACTAAAAATGGCCACTTAAAAACATATATTGTAGGATTAAGGGAGTAAGGGACCAAATATGTCAAAGTTGGGAAAGTATATACATAGTTCATGCCTTTCTCTTGCTGCATACGAGACTATGCAACCCAAAAAAAGTTGTCCCTTCCCTTAGCCCCTCTATTTGCATAATACACAGACCTAGTTTTTTGCCCATTATGCGTGTGTGTATGTGTGTTTTGCTTTGGCCACAAGAAAAGAGATCGGGGAAGGAAATGTGTTGGGAGAAAAAGATAGCAAGGAAGAAGCATGACAACATCAGACTCAATCGTAGGTTGTGTTGGGGTTGTTCTTCTAGCCTCTAAATCAGGTGTAGCATCTCAAAACTCTCCCACCACCGGCAACCACCAAGGCTGTCAAATTTCTTTCTTCTTCTTTGTTTAAGCCACCGTCAGCAGCCTAGGATGCCAAATTCCTCCACCTGCACCACTATCTCATAGGTTGCTAGGTTGTGTTCCTTTTATAAAGCTTAAATATGTTGGTTAAGTGCTTAAAGGGTTGAGTTAGAAGCTTAACCTTAGCCTAGCTTCCAGTAATGATTTTATGTGAAAAGTGTAGTTTTATACCATATTTCATAGATTAGCACCAAATTCACATTTCCCCTAAAGATAGCTAGAACTCCTATTAGCACAAAGCAAGCAACATTCGAGCGTTAGGTAACCCAATCAAACATACTCTATCCATGCTATCATACAACTATCTAGTCAGTATTATCTTGCAGCTCAATAAACACATATAGCAGGCATATCAGGCATCTTCCTAAATCCTTAGCCCTAATCTAGCATGCAGTTCTCATAATCATATCATATCATAACATAATATGTACGAGTATCTTGGGGAAAACTTACTTGAGCTCGGCCGGTCGCGCACATCACACACCTTGTTCTTTCTCAAAAATTTCTTACTTTAACATTTAGAAAACATTTTCTTGTGAAAATCTTTCAAACCCTCGGTTTTAGTCCAAGCACCCCCGAAGGTATGTCCGAATCCCTCAAACCAAGGCTCTAATACCAGCTTGTAACATCCCAAATTCCGAGTCCAAATTTTTTGTTTAGTTAAGTAATTTATAAGATTGTTTACTAAAAACATTGTTGATATCATATCAAACCATAAACCATCAAAACATGTCTCAAAATCAAAACATCAAATAGTAATAAAAATCAGAGTACAATCCCATGAATCACAAAATGCATAAATCTGATATGTGTGATGTGTAGCTACCACGCCGACTCCTTACCCTTCGAAGAAGAGGTACCTGAAACAAAATTGAAAACTGTAAGCATGAAGCTTAGTGAGTTCCCCCATCATACCACATACTATACAAATCACATACTGCTAGGCATATCTAGGTACCCGACCTACCCTGTCAGGCATATCTGGGTGCCCGACCTACCCTCCAGTGTATCTCAACCGGTTATTATTTTACCCCCTACCGCTACCACATAATAATACAACAAAACATAAACATATTATCAAGCATAGTTGGATACTAGGCTACCCCTTTGGCCCTATCGACCGATAGTCGGGGACTATTCCCATTTACTACTACTACTATCACATAATGTCATATCATACTAGCACATAAAACATGACAGGTAATGGAATACAAAATAATTATCACACAAGAATTTATCCATTATGAACTCCTACTAGTGGGCTGATATTGTGGCCTTAGACCCACTTCTAATAGAAGGTAACTTACCTCGTGATACTACGTATCTACACTCACGGAAAGTGGTCTCTAACAGCTGATCTAATGAGTCCCGAC